TGTAGTTTTTATTCGATAGAAAATGACACTCTGAATAGAATGACATATGAAATGTCAATTTTTGACATTTTCGCTTATTAAAAAATCGTATTTTAAATTTCAATCTAGAGTGCCATAGTTGTGTTACAAACATTAATTTTTAATCAAGGAGCCTTAGGAGCCTTGGAAAAATAAATTTGGTCGTCTGACGTTTTTAGTGTCTTGTCCTGGCCGGTTAGAAGTTTCTCAAATCATATTTTTAATCATAACTTAATTTTTTCAAATAAAACGAGGGTGGCTCATTAGTATATTTTGAAAAATAATTTTTTACGAATAATTTGGTACCATACACTTGGTATTTTGAGTCAAATTGTCGTTATGAACCGCATGTTACAATTTCAAATAAACCATATAATATGCGAAAATGTAAAAAGTTGACATATGATATATGTCATTCTATTCAGAGTATCATTTTCTATCAAATAAAGTAAAAAATACCGATGGTGCCATTTAAAATTCAAAAGTTGTAGTCATTTCCGGTGAAACAGGAAGTGACCGAAAATAATTGAATACGTCAATCAATCCTAATTTATGTTACATACCAACATACCAAATCTCGTTTTTTTATCTGAAAAAACAAAAAAAATTATAGGGGTGGGCCACTTTTGAGACGCAACCGGTATAATAATAAGGGATTTCTTGTGACCCTCTTTCATGAGTTATAACCCATCGAACAGTCTCAGGGTTTTACTACAAGATTGTATTTCTGATTTAAATTTAATTTTTAAACTAACAAAACTTATTGTGCAAATAATATCGTTTTGCAATTATCATTTAATATTTATCTATCTATCGTATGGCTAAACATCACAACAAAACATGGAATTACAATCACTGTAGTAGTAAGGAGCAGGAAACAAGTATGTGTGCAAACAATAATAGTAGTCTGACAAGAGTCTAAAATGTACAAACGAATATACATATAACAAATATTACAAACAAACATCTAAATTACGGATGTATTCGACTGCACTGTCTGTAGCTTCCAGGATATCATCAAAGAGACCGGAATAGGATCCGCATGCTTCTACTATGTGCCGGATAGTTTGTCTGCCGGTGTTGCAGTGGCATTCTGGGTAAGCTGACTTTCCCCATTTAAACATAGAATCGGCACACCTCCCATGATTTGTCATCCGGTTTAACGCAGACCATGTTTTACGTGGCACGTCAAAGCCTGGTGGGTTCTGAGTTATAGCCGGCATATTCCCGGCGTGGTCTGGTAACTCTAATTCCCATTCCCTAATCCATGACTCCGTTAATTTAAAACCGTCCCGGTGTAAGCTACTTGCGGTTGTTAATGTTGGACGTCTTGAACGAAGTCTGTTCCTATTCAGGTCATGGACATCCAAATGTATCGGCAGTTGCGGCATGTTAGTAATTTTAGTGAATTCTCTAAAAAGTGCATACTGCCTGCGTATATGTGGTGGAGGAATATTACTTAGAATAGGAAGCCGTTGGGTGGGAGTTGATTTTATTGTTCCTGATATAATACGCATTGTGTTGTTCAATTGGACGTCCACCTTTCCTGTGTGAGAACTATTGAGCCACACCGGGCAGAGTACTCAGCAGTAGAGTAAACCAAACCCAGCGCAGAGGAGCGCAAGGTACTCGCGGATGACCCCCACGTGGGGCCGCATAATTTATGGAGGATATTATTCCGAGTGTTGAGCTTAGCTGCAGTTTGTGTGAGGTGCTTCTTAAAGGACAAGGAATCTCTAATGTAATGCCTAAATATTTTGTTGTTGTGAGACAGCCAGTTACCTTCAAACCTTATTTTAAGTTCTTGGTTTGCTAATTTATTATTAAGAGGGAAACAACTAACTTCCGTCTTTACCGCGCTCGGTTGCAACCTCCACTGGCGGAAGTAGTTTCCCAGGGAATACAGGTCTTCCGCAAGAACAGCCTCTGTCTTCTCGAGGTTTTTATGTCTTGTAGCTATCGCCCAATCATCCGCATACCCAAATTTTCTAGCTGAAGTAGCAGGCATATCAGCGATATTTAATATTAATAAACTCTTTTCCAAAATTACATTTTTTGTGAAACTACGTAAAAATTTCTTATTTTTACAAGTTTTTTATTAAAAACACTATAATGTATCAATATTTTTTTGTAAAATTACTTATATTTTTTTCAGTGGCGCTGTTTCGATTCACTTCATTCTTTTTTCTCTTAAACTTAATAAACTAAACTTAATTCTCCCCAACGAATTATTTTGTAAACATCATTTTTTTGTGTCTAATGAGCGTCGTCTCCATTAATCAAACCTCGTAAACCGTTTACGCTAAGGAAACTTGGTTGCGATATCGCCAAACAAAGTGCGGAACTTTTATGCCGAACACGTTTTATAGCATTATATTATTAGAGTCGTTTGCTTCGTTTTACTACGAAGACGAACGACCTACTGTTTTCCTTTACCCTAATAAAACATCTATGGAAATAACTGCTGTCTGCTGTCGGTTTCGAATGTCTCCTCAACCGAACCAATTTAATAATGTAGTTTTGTTTTGTTTATTTAATATCGGAATCTAATGTGAATTATTTGTGGGCAATCGGGTAGATGGGAAATGATTTATTGAGGATCCGATGCTGGTAATATTGGCTATAATTAATAACTAATACCTGATTGAATATATATATACGGGGTGTCCTAATACCGTATGATCGAATAAAAACGGCGTCCAGTTGGCTGGGAAATGACGATCGATGACATTTCCCATATAAATTTACATATAAAATGACAGAGATCTTCATTTCATAGCCATCGCTGACGCCGTTTTTATTCGATCATACGGTATTTTGTGGACATAGAACTACTACGTATTTTTGGAATCAAAAGAAGTGTACAGGGTGGCGCCTCCATACATCGCGGAGGCTCCAAGGAGAACGACAGTTTGTATTGAAATGAAATTTTGTGAACATATTATGTCGGTTAATTCAGAACACTTTTTAAAAATATAGAGACTTCTACACGGTGTCCCCAAAAAAGTTACATATCAAAGTTGTGTTTTCTGTAATGGAACGCTCTATATATTAATTGATTTTCGAATTCTGGGGGAAAAATAAAGGTGGGTTTCATAAGAGATGCATATGACTAAAATGTAAGGTTTTTGATATATTTAACATTTTCTAAAAATAAAGAACAATTTTTAAATCACAATAATAAAAGCCACCTAAATTGGAATTTACCCGGTATAACTTAATATGTAGTTAAATTAACTATTGTACTTTAAATCAAATTAAAACTTGATCCAAAAAGTTATACAGGGTGAGACAAAATTAATATTGAACATTGGTCACCTTCAAAAGTATGTTACTCTTTTATTTTAAATGGAACACCCAGTATATTATTCCGATATTCAATGGAGAATAAGTCTCTTCAAAATACTATTAAGGTTGCCTACCCCGCAAACAAAGATTTTCCTATATAATTTCATTTACATGATTTGATCTGAGTAGATCTTTATTATTTGATAAAATCTATGTGGCTGTGATATGTCTGATGTTACTTGAACATAGCTGCCTAATTAGTCCAACTTTAACAACTAGTTATCATTTTGTGTTAGTTAAAACAAAAAAATTTCTCAAAAATTTGCCGAAAATGCAAACTTATCCTACATCAGAAAGAATTGATATGATTCTATTAGTTGGTGAACGCATAAGTGGTGCATTCATCAATTCTCTTTTCGAGGTAGACCTCCACATATGCCTTTTAAAATGAAAAGAGCCTTTTCAAAAGGCAATCATTTTATGCAGTTAACAGGAAAAGAAACATTTTGAGCATGTGATTTCATCTAGCTAATTTTTGTCTTTGTTACATAATTATAGGTTTATATCTAGTTTTAATTCTTTTTCTCATGCATTCTCTAATAATTAAAATATGTTTTAAACGTGTATTTTTTTTATTACCGTTGAGTATTTTACTCTACAATCTTTAATAATTTTTGTTAAATTAACAAAAGGTATATCACAGCCACCCAAGATTTTTTTTTAAATAATAAAGATTTACTGACGCAAAATCATAGAAATTAAAATATCTAGGAAACTAGTATTTTCTACGAAAACTTGAAGAGATAGGTAAAAAATGGTATAATACAATTTGATAGACAATTAAATACATCTGATTCTCGTAAAATATACAGGGTGTTCCATTTAAATTAAACAAGTTATTGCCGTTTAAAGCTAGTAATTGTTTAATATAAATTTTTAGATACTCTGTAGAAGGTAGAATTTTGTTTATTATTGCATTAACATAATATCTGATCAATAAATAAAGTTCAGTAAATATTTAGCATTAAAAACTTTTATACCCTTGGAGAAATGAAGCCTTAAACTTTTTACTGCAATTTCATGAAATTGAAAATATTTCAAAAACGGTAAGGTTTAAGTGTGATAAACCTTGATCAAATTTACCTTTATTTCAATCGTAGAATCTAAAAATAGAACAATATACAGGGTGTTCCGTTTAAAAAAATACAACTATAATATTTTTTACTTATTTGAGACACTGTATTTTGTAAAAATATTTTTAAATTGTAGCTCTAGTAGTCCTTCAACAAACCCAAAATTTACAATTTGTAAAAATCTAATCGTTTAGTTACAATACTCCGTGTCGTATGTGGTGAACAACCCTGTATAAAATTTTCAACTGTAATGGTTTTTAAAACACCCTGTATACGCAAAAAACATTTTTTTTAATATCTCATCAGAATATGTATAAAAATGACGAAATGAAATAAATAATTTAAGTACTATATTGATAACATTTAATTACTTTATATACTGTAATTTTGTATACAATATTTTACATATTTATAAATAATGTAAATAATTAACATTTGTAAAATATTGTTTTGGTAATAAACAAATTATAAACGTTTTTTGTTATCAGTTATTTTATACATCATCACCAATTTTTCCTTTTTTAATTACAATTTAACAAATTAAATTAAACGATTACTTACACTGACAATATTTTCTTGAATGGTCGGCCGGCATTGTTCCAAAAAAGCCAAATAGTCCTCGGATATCTCTGAAACAACCATAACTAATTTAAAAAATATGTCCTAGTTTTCGGCACTATCATATTCTAGGTTAAGTTATTCCAATACACGTATACTACGAACACGTCAGGCGGCGTTAATCACTTTTTAAATTACTTATTTATTTTAAGTAACGTTGGGTACTAATCGGTAGTACATTGCCACGAAGTATTGAATTAAATCATCGTAAAAGACTGACGAGATAAGAGACTGATATTGGAGATAAAGAACGCGCTTAAGAAAGTTTAAATATCTACGCTACGAGAGCAGCTGAAGTAGTACAGTAATGATACCTTTCGAGCGGAACATTCAATGAACTAGATAAAATAAAAATGTTTTGTAATAATTAGCCGTGCGCCGAAAGCAATTTTTGTTTATTATTGTTTTAAAAATTATTATAAAATATGTTATTGTAAAATGATATATGCACATGTACAGGGTGGGTCAAATTCGACGCTTTCAAATGGAAACACCCTTTTCTATAGGAGATAGACAAAAACTAATATCGGTGTCTGGAGCTCAATTTTTGTCAAAAACATGATGGTGAAAACCGCATATCGTTTCGGAGTTACGGGGTGTTTTTCAAAAATATGCATTTTTAACAAATCGCTGTAACTTTTTTGCTATGGAAAATTTTATTCTTTTATAAAAACGTTTCCAAAGCACCTTTTTACGTATAATTTAATGGTTTAAGAATAATTTTTTTAAAATTAATAATTTAAGAATTATCAACAGAAAATTTGATTTTTTATATGGGACACCCTGTATATTTTTAATTTATTGAAAGGAATTTAAAATTACCTTTCCAAAAATATAACACACTTGATATTTTGCTCGATTCCTCTTCGAGATATAGAGTATATAAAAATTCGCCCGCTTTAAATAAATAGGCTTTGAACGGCATCGGCTGTAATGCAAAAAAAAATCTAGCTGTGAGCATCAATTAAAACGAAAATAATATTTGCTATGAGAGATGCAGAATTTTATACAATTTAAAATATATTTAACTAACATCAACACATTTAAAGTATATATAATAACAATAAAAATAAATAGCAAACCAAGACATGAGATTTTGCTACAGGTGTTCGACATATCGACCGTCTTATGTTATGGACAGACGGGGCAGTTTTTGAACATTTCTTGCGGAATTCATTAGCTCAGTGGGGGTGAAAGATACCCTCTCATAACTGCTAAGTATTTCTAATTCTTTTCTAGATTATACGGAAGAATAAGGAACCTTTATTCTTCCGCAAATATATACATAGGATTAGATCCATGGGCACTAAGTCAGGCGGCCTCGACGGCCAACGGCTGGGATTATTAGCTATTCAATTATTCTTGAAATTGGCTGCAAAAATTTGCTGATAACTTCAGCGTTCAGAGGCGGTGCGTCGTCTTGCTGGAAAAATATGTTTTCGAGTGCCATTAAGGGCATATCATCAATAAGGGCTCCAAAGCCTACTAGTTAAAAGTGGCGAACTTTTAAAAATTCTGTATTTCGAAGGGGATTATAACAAAATATCAAGTGTGCTATATTTTTGGAAAGGCAATTTTAAATTCTTCTCAGTTAATTAAAAATATAGAGGGTGTCCCAAATAAAAAATCAATTTTCTCTTGATAACTCTTAAATTATTAATTCTAAAAAAATTATACTTAAACTATTAAATTCTACGTAAAAAGGTGCTTTGGAAATATTTTCATAGAAATACAAAATTTTCCATAGTAAAAAAGTTACAGCGATTTGTTAAAAATGCACATTTTTGAAAAACACCCCCTAACTTCGAAACGGTAACAGATATGTGCGGTTTTCACCATCATATTTTTGATGAAAATTGAGCTCCAGACACCGATATTAGTTTTCGTTTATCTCCTATAGAAAAGGGTGTTTCCATTTAAAAGCGTCGAATTTGACCCACCCTGTACAGGGTGTCCCATTTTCGTGTGTTTTAAGAGGTTTCTCGTTTATGAGTAGAGATTCGTGATGAGCGAGACTGGTGTTGCCGTCTTGGTCTTGGTCACAAAAAGCAAGATCAAGGACTGGACCCTGCAAGACAGTCTTGGTCTTGGTCTTGCATTTGCTCATCGCTAGTAAAGATTCAAAGATACGGTTCAAATCGCTATGTTACTTTTTTATGAAATTAAAGATGCTACATATAGTTTTGCCCTAGACCCTTTACTTTCTGAAATAAAGGGCAAATTTGAAAATGTTAGAATCCAGTGGCGTACCTATGCCTAACTAGATTTTCGCTGGGAGCTGTCATTTTCGAAATACAGGGTGAGACTTAAATAAGTGCAAATATTTTCAGGGCTGGTAGATCTCGATAAAGGAAACATATTTTTTCTGTACCGTTTTTCAAATAAATCAAAAATAACCGAGTTATTTTACTTTGAAAATTGAAGAAAAAATGATTTTTGATTAAATTTTGAGAACCACTATATCTTTTCTAGGTTTTACCAAACTACCAAACTACCTATGTTGCCATATTATGAACATTTGAAAATATTATGTTTTTTAACTTAAAATTAAAAAAATCGAATTTTTTCGTCAAAAGTTGATGTCCTCCCATCGCGGCCAAATTTGGTGGGTACTCTATGTGAGCGCCGGTGCAGACGGCCTCATTCTGCAAAGTTGGATAGGGCGTTTCGTTTACATCCTCATCAGAGTGGGACTAAAGATTTGATATTGAAGAAAAATGTGGGTCGAAGTAAAGAGAGATGGCCGATTCTGCGCCAACCACAATGCGCAGGAAGTGGTGGCGGATTACGTAAATGAATTAGGAACATGTAAAATAATCATCACTCTACTCAAGATTTATTTCAATTTTTAGTAAGTGACATCTAGAGATTGACCTTGCCAAAATTATCATTGATTGTCAGTCCCCAGTCGCATTTGACCCCTTTTTTTATCGATCATGCGGTATAATGACAGTATATCATTAATAATGCAATAATGCCCGGATAATATTTAAAAAAGATTGGAGTGAAAAATAAAAAACCTCACATTTTTCGGAAATTAGATTGCTTTGTATAAAAAGATACAAGTATTCATTTTATTATATTATTATTGATTGTTTCTGAACAGAATATTAATATATTCATATTATTTTTTTAAACATAAAATAATAAAATTTATTAAAAATATAATTCTATAGAGATGAATTGCAAATTTCCGGTTCATTCATACCATATTTCATATTTTATATTCTACACGTACTTTGACTAATCAACATGCACATTTCTTTCCCCCAAAACCAGCAAAAAAGTTAGAATCCAATTTTTGCGGTGAAAATTCAAATATTTTTCCTACAATTGCGCGGTCATCTGGTGAATTATATTATTCTGTGTGTTACGACATGCATATTTATTTCTTGCATGGAATATGCAAAATATTCAAAAAATATTAATATGGCAAAGTCCCTAACCCACAGAAAAACCAGAAAAACAATAGATAACCAAATAAATACCATTTATACTATTAAAGTCAATATAAAATATTCGCACATATGTTCATTATTGGTGCATACGAGAATTTTATTTTTGAATAAATAATAGTTAAATATAACTAAATAAATTAAATAAAGAATAAATAGTAAGGTGCATAAAAAAATATATGAGTAAAGATATGAGTACCTAATTATATTTCGATGGTTTCAAAGATATTTATAAATAAATAAAAAAATATATTTTTGCAGCCTGTTTAAAAAAAATATTAAAAATACAAGAACCTGTCCTGAAATCAAAACTATATTAGGTATTTACCTTAGATAGTCTGTACTTACTTTGCTCTAAATATGGTAATCGTCAATCATACAGTGTGTTCAAAATTTTACGCCAAACTTTCTAAAATATAAAATAATTTTTCTGCGTTTTTTTAAATTGAATACCCTGTATATTATTTCTTCAATAGATGGATAATTAAAAAATGAACATTTCTTGTATTTAGAGTATATCAAAATTTTTAACGGTTTTGCAGATATTCGCGGTTATATTTCGTATGGCATTTTCCACAGTAAATTTTTATATCAAAGCCACCCAATTATTTTTCTCTCGTATTTTACCGTTGAAAAAGCCATATGAAATAATACTGCTTATTATTAAAAAATTGAATTTATTTAAAAAATAACATACAGGGTGTTCCATTTAAAAAAAACGAAGAAAAATAATTTTATATTTTAAAAAGTTTCGCGTAGAATTTTGAATAGCAAATTGTTTCTTTTCTCTTAAACCTTTAGATTATATCCATATATTTTTTTTGTGATTCACACTCATTTATACAGAGTGGTGCTAGCAAGGCGACTTCAAGTTTTTAGAATAAAGTGCCTAAAAAAGCCCACTATGTTGGAGCGAAATGTCGCATAAAAAAAGTTTCCATCTTTCAATTTATTAAAATATCTCATATCCAATCAAAGGCAAAAAAAATATATATACAGGGTGGCACACCTCATTCGCCTCGGTTGATTATACAAAAACGGAAAGATGTAGAAACAAAATATTTTATGGGTATATGTGGGGAGGTAATGTGCACAATTTAAAATTATTTTGAAATGTACAGGGTGTTTGAGAACTAAGATCCATACCAAAGTTATATTTTTTCTTATGGAACACCCGGTATTTTATTTCATATTTGGATTCTTGGGCCCAAAAAAAGGTATTTATTATAAGGGTTAAATCCCAAGTAGCATTTGGACGTTATCTAACGTCAGGTATACGTCGCGTTCAATAAACCCGACGTCGGGTACCAACGTCGGTTCGACCGCCTGACGACCCTTATTTGCACCTAAATGGGGAATACAGATTCGGGGCGCCTCGACGTCGGTATCTGATCTAATAGGGAATGTAATTCTACCAATTACCAACGTCATATTACGTTGGATTTTAGTTTACCTAAAATTCGTAGCTAAGCACTTACGTTACGTTTGGTTTCATATTCGCTACCTAGAATACATAAAAACATAACCAAACTACCTAATTACAAATGGATTCATAATCACTCCTCGAATATAACTATAAGTGCCTGTCTAATTTCATATTATAATAATTCTGAATCATTAATCCAGACATCAGTTTTGTCAACGGAAGTCACTTTTTTGATATATCTGATTAAAATACTCCGGAAAACAACGAGCGCCTTCAAAATTAGGTAGATTTATGAAATAAAAATATTTATAAAAAAGTAACTTGCAAAATATATTTTTTTATTTTCTAGCTGATTAATCATAAAACTATACTGTGGTTCCCCCCAAACTCAACCTTATCAATATTATTCTACTAGATATCGGAATGTGAATATAAATTT